GGTATTGGGATCTCTGAGTGCTTCTCGACCCAGTCTCTTGTACAACTAAGTAGCAAATATCGAGGTGCTTTCTACGCAGCTTTGGGATTTGGTCCTAGCCCGCCCGAACCTGTAATCCAGCAACTGTAGAGCCCTTCTAGAGCCCCTTCAAAAGCCCCGTAACCCAAAGGGTCCAAAATACCAACCTAATTAGTAAACTGTATCGCTTCTATATTGCTATCAGAAACTACCATTCTGATTTGGGGATGTATCCCCTGCAGCAGTACCTAGGACCATTTGGCTGTCATGTCGAACCTTTAGGATTCAGGTTAAGGCTTCAGAGCTTTGAGTCCACTTAGAGAGACTGTCCGTTCACCAATACGATACAAGTTTCCCATTACTACATATTCTGGGCCCTTTGCCCCAAGCCGGAGGCCCTATACCCGAAACGCTAATGATGAAATTCTCTCGGTTTGTGTCGTAAGGATCTAGGGTGCCCAGTAGTACCCTTATTCCCTTTTTGTAGTCCTAGGTTCCTTATCAAGGTACCCAATACCAAAAAGGGAGCCCTCTTTATTCCTAGGTCACTGGGCATCCTAGGGATCACCTGTCTCCAAGTTTGGGGCAGCTTTGGCTCTCGAACTTGGGGTTCTAGCTTTGATCCTCAAGCCAGAGAGCCTTATCCCCCTGAATTAAGGAATATAGCTGAAAAATACCATGAAGCCCTATGTACTTTAAGCCATGTTCCTTGATTAAGGGGTATTGGGGTCTCTGGGCAAACCACAGTCTGGAACCCGGGGTTTAAGTGAAGGGTTTTTTCGTAGGCTTTGGAGTTTAGGGTTTAGGCTTTTGGAGTTTAGGGTTTCAGAGTCTGGGGTCGGGAGTGTAGTTTGTTGAGGGTTTAGGATCAAGTCCACCAAATCCAAAGTTTTGTTGGGTTTTCGTAGCCGACGGTGTTCCGCAAGAGGTACTATGGCGACAGCATCAAGGCCAGTGCTCTGGTGGCGGTTTCCAAGGGTAAAAGGAGGGACCCTTAATAAGGACCCCTAGGTATATACCCTTAATATAGGTATTATATACCCGTTATATAGCCCATTATAGGCTAGGGGTCCCCATTAAGGGTCCCTCCTTTTCCCCTTTGAGGGTTGTGTTTCCGGGATCCTTCCTGGTAGGGTTTAGGGGTTCAGCGTTTAGGACTTAGGGTTTGGCTACTTCTATGTATAGGTTCACTATACAGGTTTGAAGATGGCTCCCGAACCCTGAACCACAAACCCGAAACCCTCAAATTAAAACCTAAACCGTAAACTCTGCACCCTTACCCCCGAATCCTAAACTGTACTTTGAAATGTTTTTCTCTGTGTGTGAGAGCGAGAGGTTAAGCTCTGAATGGCAGGCGCGAGTTCACGTCCTCTCCTTCGGTGACCAGGATGCCGAGGTCCATGCCTAGACGGATTAAAGCAAATACTATAATGGCCTAAATTGATTACCTATACTTTTTCGTGGGTTCCTTAATTATAGTGTAATGGGCCCCGAAACCGTATTCTTATGAAGGCCTCTATACTACATTGTATGCAGGTCTTAGATTACCAGCGCAACCTGCTGCAGCGCGTGCCCCATGTGTACTAGAATATCTTTTCTGCAGGACTTGTGCTGCCAGTTGGCCTCTTAGCTTATGTATGGGGCATTAAATACTTCTGATTAGGTTCTGTGACGGATATATGGCACGTTATAACTATGGTAGGTTTTATGTGTATCGTCTAAGTACATATTCGGGTTTGGGAGTATATAGTATTGCCCGATTATATGCAGGAACCCCATGGACCTCGTGAGGGCGTTTATTCATGCATCAATTACTTTCGCAGCTTTCACGCGTTCCTGTACTGGCCCGAATCTGACTATGGCGCAATATCAAAGTCTGAGAAATCGCACACATTATTCTTTAAGGCTCCTTGCTTCATAAAAAACACCGGTTAAGAGCCTACTAGAATGACTAAAGCCACTAAGGCCCTAAATTCGCGCAGTCGAACCGGTTCAGGCACCGATTGTTGCGACTCGAAACGCCCCTGTCGGTACCAGGCTACAGCCATCCAGGAGTTGGTCAAGGAGCGGGCAACTCGAAGTCGGTACCAGGCTTCAGGGTTTAGGGGTTTAGGGTTTAGGATTTAGGGGTTTGGGGCTTAAGGGTTTAGGGTTAAGGGGTTTAGGGTTTAGGGGCTTAGGGTTAAGGGGTTTAGGGTTTAGGGGTTTAGGGTTTAGGGTTTAGGGAATCCCAACCCGTAGATCTGAGCCTGAAGATCCTCAGGTTCTAAGCCGTAAGACTCACAACCCTAAGCATCAGCCTAAGCCTGGAAAAGAGAGACGAAGCCTTCAACGCCCAAGTCTCTTACCCAAGATCCAAACGATATCAAAGTTGATATAGAAAGCTAAGCCCTGTACCATAAACCCTAAACCGTAAACTGTAGCACGGGTGCGAAAGGGTCTGGGCGTGCTATGGGCTCTGTGAGACGCAGGATAGCTCAGGTCCCATGCCTTGGCTCGGATAGTTCAGGCTTTTGTTGGTACTTCGTGGGGTTCAGGATGTAGGCCTGTTCGTGGCGATTTCATGGCTTAGAGTCCATTATTATGATTACTATTATTATTGTTGCTGTTGTTACTACTTTTTCCTTATTATTGGTCGTATTATTATTGTAGCTGTGGTTATTACTTCTTATTACTGTATAATAACCATAAGAAGAAGACTAATTAGTTATTAGTAGCGTGAACTTTCGCGGTTCATCAACGGTCACAAGCCAACGGGCCCGAAACTCGTTTCAGCACCAGTTACTACTAGTACTGCTACTACTACTACTACTACTACTACTACTACTACTACTACTACTACTACTACTGCTGCTGCTACTACTACTGCTGCTGCTGCTACTGCTACTACTACTACTGCTACTACTACTACTACTACGACTACTACTACTACTACTACTACTACTACTACTACTACTACTACTACTACTACTACTACGACTACTACTGCTACTACTACCACTGCTATAGCTGGCCCCGAGTCCCTTAAATCCCAACCCTGTAACCCGAGACCTTCTCCCCCGAAAGTCCAAAGCCCCTGGAGCTCTAGCACACCCCAAGAGAAAGGCATCCCTTCCAGGAGCACTAAGCCTCAGCCGGTGACCCCTAAGTATAATCCATAAGCTCTACTTCCTCAGCCCTGAACCCTAAACCGTCGAATTCTTGGGATGTGCTTGGAGATGCAGCTTCCGGACCTGCGAGAAAGACTTCTTTCGGGGACGTGGGATAACACGTGCGAAGATGCATCCGAACCCTGGACCAGATAACCCGAAGCCGTGAACCTGATACCCCTCAACCCTTGAACCCATCTAGTCCCTGAGCGCCAAATCCTACACCCCGTAAACACTGAAAACCTAAACCTATACCCTAAACCCCCTCAGCCCAAGATTCCAAACCACCTTAACCCTATGACCTCAACGCTACACTTTACAGCCCCTAAGCCCGCGACACTGTGCCGTTGTCCTTTAAAGCAAAAACCGTGGACCAGGCTACCCTACCTGTATGGTCGTACGCTACCCTTTTATGGTTACATACTCTTCCACCCATATACCCCATACTAGTTCCGTGTTGGGGTTCATATTTAGAATTCTATAAGGTAATCCCGAAAAGGAAGTACTACGGGGCCTATGGGTAAGTAAACAATCCAATCCATGAAGCTAGGTAGCCGAAAAAAGAGATTGGCAGGCTATGACTCTTCAGGTAAACCCTAAACCCTAAACTCTGAACCTGATGACCCTGGCAATTGAAGGACACTTGGGCCACAAGCTGGCAGCGTCCGCTCTGTAAAGTCGTCAGGCGGTGGTTTTGGGGGTGGAGGGTTCGGAGAATCAACTGGGAAAAGGAGGGACCCTTAATGGGGACCCCTACCCTATAATGGGCTCTATGCTGGGTATATAATGGCTATATCAAGGGTATACACCTAGGGGTCCTTCTTAAGGGTCCCTCCTTTTACCCGTGGAGAGAAGGCGGTTTCATAACAACACGCGGGGAGGGGGGGGGTATATGATTCCCCCAACCAATCCGTAGACCCCATGGTTGGTGAATATGTTCCCCATCCATGAGGTCTAGATATGGTCCCCTGTTGTCTGACACGCAAATCGGAATTTCAGGCTTTGAGGTTGAGAAGCCCCGGTGAGCTGAAGTTCCAGGTTTAGAATGAGTAGCCAAGCTTCGTAGCCTACCGTCCTGATTTGCTAATTTGCTTGGCGCAGGCTAGATCATCCTGTCGGCCCACAGCCAATTGTCGCCTAACAAGCACGAAAGCCCAGATGCCACCCTACGATTGGCTTGATGCTTGAATTTGGTAGTATACCTTACTTTACTGTACTATACGATACTATCCGACATTCTAATATACTATACTACACTATACGACTATACTACACTAAACTGCACTATGCTGTACTCTACTACTATACGGTACGATGCCATGCTATACTATGCCATACTGTGCTACACTGTGCTAGGCGAATATACTATGCTGTACTATGCTATGCTATATTGTGCTATACTATGCTATACTATACTGTTGCTATATTGTGCCATATTGTACGATACCATACTATACTACGCTGTAGTGTACTATACTATGCTAGTACTTCGACCATTTGAAAATATGGGGATCGGCTATGTGTAGGGATTTAGGGTGGAGGATCCCGGTATCTCAGAAAAGCTGATTCGACACAAAGCCTCCAGGGACACCTGCAACTAAATCTTTTCTTAGGCCCGAAGCTATGCAGGAAACCCAAACGTCTAAACCCCAAAAGGCTAAACTTCTTCTTCTTCGTTGCGTAGAAGGTTCTAGTCCTGTGCAAGAAACGAGACGGACCGAAAAGCGGCGAGGCCGCGGTCCTGGAAAAGCGGGAACTTACAGCCCTACATGCAAAGCGAAAAGACGGCGGGGCGAGACCTACGCCTCAGGCGTAAGGACTCGGACCGCAAAACTACAAGGGAAGCTGGTGCGGCATCGCCAAGCGACGGGGAGAGGCCAAAGAGAGCCAGCCCGAGGCAAGAGAGGAAAGAGCCCGCGGGGCGACCGCAGGGAGGCTAACGACAGTGCCAAAACCAAGCACGGCGACAGCCGATGTACCCACAGCGTGAGGTACGACACGGCGCAGAAGTTCCCAGAAGGCGCCAGGCAAGGGAACAGCGCACCACAGAGCAGCTCCAGCCTTAATCTGACGAAGCAAGTGGAGACAGGTGAGCAGTCTCCGCAGGAAAAGGATCCGCTGTGCCGCGATCTGCTCAAAGCATGTCAGGCATCCGAGTGTGGCGCTTGGAGAGGGGCGTTCCTCCTGGCGCAGAAAGGCAGAGAGTCTCCAAGTCTCAGCTGCCCACGGGTGTAGCGACTCAAGGGCAAGAAAGAGCTTCCAGCACCGCGCCCACGATGGCGGGAGACACCAGATGGCGGGAGGCACCGCACACCACCGGCAAGAGGGGGCGCAGAACGACGAGGCGCCAGGGGCCTCGTCGAAACAATAGACAGTGCAGAACCTTTCCGTTGGATGCGTCTGGTACCGAGCAGAAGCAGCCGCGGTGTCATCGGAAGAGAGCCGAACCGAGGTGGTGGGTGAACCAAAGTCCAAAGCTCCGGTGGAGGAAGCAACAGGAGCATGTGGTGAGTGCAAGACCTCAGGGCACGGGATCGTACTAGCCTCTTCGCCAGGGGGAAGAGTAGAGTAACCACCAACACGGCGAAAGGGCACAACAGGAGAGGAGCGAGTGCCCTCGGAGAAGCTCGGACCAGGGGCGATAGTGCGTAACTCAGCAGCGAGCTCCTCGTCCGTGCAGCAACGCCCCTCCTCGGCGGCACGACGCTGTGCCGCGGTAGCATTACACGGGCCTGCAACACGGAAAACCGGGGCCCTGGCATGGCCCTGTTTGCCGCGGCGTTTGGTGCCTGTACCATACTCATAGACAGGGCCCACACAGCACCGAAGCCCGTGCTCGCAGTCCGGTGAGTGCAAAAGATGGTACCGGAGACGCGCAGCATTATGGAATTCGACCATACACCACAGACAGATCGTCCCCAACGTGTACTGGGTGCACAGAGCAACGCGCCCATGAAGTCGATGGGCATGGGCCGCTAAGGCATGCGCCGAAGGGAGAGTCACACCACACTCCGGGCATATGTGAGGGGACGCGAGACCAATCACCCGCTTGGGTGGCGGACCGCCATGACTTCTCCACGCCCGATGGAGAGCCAGCAGCATAGTGCCGGACCGACTGATCCGGCGACAGGCCGAGAGGATCTCTTTGGTATGCCGGCGCACACAGAGAAGGGTAGGCTCGCCTGTCTGGAGTGCCGGTAGGCCACAGGCCGGCCAAACACGCCGCACCGCGTCAGCAAGGAGGGAAGACCATTCCCCGCCGCGATCCCAGCTGGCTTGGAACAATTCAAAGACCTCAGGGGAACGGCCCGAGGCAATGCGGCAGAGCAGGCGCACACGAGCGATAACCGTAGCACATTCAACATCAAGAACCCCTGTACAGGCTCGCAGTTGGACTGAGGCCACATGGTGCCCAGCATCCCAAGACCCGACGAGCTGGCGAAGGCATTTGTCGTAGAAACCATTCAGGGGTCCCCAGGCTCGTTCAGAACGAGCTAAAGTAGTGGCAAGGGAGGAGTACGCTGCAGGGAGGGTCCTTCCCTGCAGCCATACGGACTTGAGCATCCACGGCAACTTCTCAGAATGGACAAGTCCAGAGGCTTGAGTCCAGATAGAGTTGCCACGCGCGGCGGCGGCCTCGACATCCCGTCGGCCAGTGTCACGGCAGCGCTGCACAACCCCGAGGTACTTATATTCAGGGACTACCCTAATGCCTCTCCCATCACTGAGGGCAAGAAGGGGCTCAGGGGTTAAGAGATCCTTGCGGGCAACATTAGCCCCCGCTCCTTGCAGGTGAACGAGCGCTTCGGTCTTACCTGCTCCAAGGTTGACGCGGAACCGAAAGGCTTCGAAAACTTGGAGAACAATAGTGCAAAGGCGACGCAACTTCGAGACAGCCCAAGTGGCTCGGATGAAATCAACAAGCAGGCACAGGTCATCAGCCCATGCGATTTGAAGGGATGCATCAGGTCGGCCAAGGGCATCAGAGGAAGCGGCATGAACAATGTCTTCAGCCTTGAGCGCAAAATGGAGGCACTGTAAAATCACTGCAAACAAGGCTCCGAACAGGACATCGGCCAGTCCGTCCCCGGGCCGGGACCCTCGACCTGCCATGATAGCCTGGTGCTGGCCGACAAGGCGCCAGTACGAGCATTCAACGCAGTCACGCAGGAGAGCAATCTGGTCAGCGGGAACCCCGAGACCCGCTAGGACGCCATCCTGAATCAGGCCATGAACATGACGAGGCAGCTGCAGGCCCGCAAGAGCTGGTTCAAGGTCACGACCGTGGAAAAGCAAGGTTCGGTCTGCTTCATAGTAGGCGGCCTGAATATCGACAAACAAGGCAGCCCAGGACCGGCCATGAACGGAAGCCAAGTCGACAGCAGAGCGGAAGACAGTGAGGGCAAGGCCGGTGTCCACGCCTCGCCTACCCCCGAGCTGGGTCGGAAAGTAATGAGCGATAACTTCCTGACCCAGGGTGGCCCGAAGTTGGGAGTGCCACAACTTAGCCACTCCATTCAGCATGGCAATGGACCGGAAGTTGGCGGGAATGTGAGCTGGGCCTTTTTTGTGGAGAGCTCCCACAGTAGAAGCTTTAAAGTGAAGTGGCTCGGCCTCGCCCCAAGCGAGGTGAACCCACATAGGCCACAATCATCGGCCGGCGCGATCGGGGTGGGTTCGCCAGACCTCATTACGAATGTGGTCCGGGCCAGGGGCCTTGCCTCGGCGCTGGAGTCGACACATGTGTTCAACATCAAGAAGGGTGGGTAAGGCCGAAAGACAAACGTCACGCGGTTCAGCAGCCCAAAGAGAAAAGGCTGCACTCAATTGGGCATCCGACACCGGGCGGCCATCTTCCTGCTGCTGGAATTGTAGCTGGAGTTGCTCATCGATGTCAAACCCACTTGCGGCCCTAACATCACGTTTTTGCTTGGCACCTTTGGACGCCCAAGACAGCTTGGCCACCGCCTCGAGAGGGCGCCCGGTGGCATGCCAGTGATCGACTGCGCCGAGGAGCATGGATTCGAAGTAGGCCTGCTTATCAAGCCGTGCCTGTGCATGAGCCTGAGCTCGAAGCCGGAAACAAACGTGTGCAAAATGCGCCATCATCATGCGGACCTGATGAAGTTCCCAGGGGAGGGCTGGGGACTCAACTCGGCGGCGGCACCATGTCCGAAAGGCAACCAAACAGAGTTGCCGGTGATAGAGGGTGCGAAGCCGCCTAACCTCGGCCCGTGCATCACGAAGAGTTTCAAGAAGGCCGGCAGCAACTTCAGACAGATAAGGTTGCCGTTTTTGAAGAGGGGGCCGGGCAGGAAGGCAGCGGATCGCATGGGCGTGGGCAGCACAAAGTTGCTGAACTCTCTCCGCACTACTACCAGGTGTGGACTGGTGAAGAGCGTCCCAGACAGCTTCAGCGACAGCGGCACCAGAGTCAGCCGAGTAGGGGCAGCGCGGATGCATTTTACCTGCGGACTTCCCGGAAACGTCAACAGTAATGACAATGGGCATATGATCCCTGGCCTCGCCATTCAAGATGTCAAATTCAGGAAATTGGCGATACTGAGAGACCCGAGTGCCATGGGTAATAAGCAGGTGGTCCAAGCGTTGGGTCTTCCCGCCTGTGTGCTGCCAGGTCCAAGTGGGTCCAGTGCAGACCTCAGACCAAGTGCCAGGGGCAGCCAGCGCCGTATCATGAGCACAGGCCAGAAGGAGATCGTCGCCAAGCCTGGCGGGGCGGAGATTAAGAAGGTCGCCAACAAGGGTCTCTTCCTCATCACGGCCCGTAAAGTCAGCATTCGCATCAATACCTAGCAGAACAGTACCGCGATTGCAGGCAGGAAGAAGTTGCGTCTTGAGATCATGCCAAAACCGCCGAATCTCCGCGTCCGGCCTCTCAGCATGAGGTGCATGGGCTGCAACCAGAGTAACCGGGAGCTCAGCGCGTTGACACTGCACTAACAGAATTTTCGGGCTGGCAAAACGGATGCGGAAGTCGTCCAGACTCAAAGCAGGGTGCAGCAGGTCGGGGCGGATCCAAATTTCGACCCCGAACAGCCCTTTCTCGGCTCCCGAACGGAAGCTGAGAAAGCCGTGGGAGGACCACCGGCCCGGGCGGCTGCGGCACTCTTGAAGAAAGGCAATATGAACCCCCAGAGCTCGAAGTTGTTTAGCCAGGTAGATGCGGCGCTGCCCGTGTCCATCCCTATTGAAGAAGGACACATCAACATCTTTAATTGTCTGGATGTTGGCTTGCACAAGAGTGACAGTGGTACGAAGAGGCTTGACCTGCTCGTCATCTTGCCGCACCTGCGGCTGTATCTGCGGGGGCTCTTGAATGGAAGTGCGGGGGCAATCAACCCATCCCGGTGAGCGCCAACACAACCGGCCTTCTTGCAGGCGAGCTTGCGGCAAGAGCCACATGAGCGGGGCACACTCTAAAAGTGAGTCCCCAAATGTAGTCGGCAGACGGCACCACCCGACAGACGCACAACGGTCATGAGCAGTTCCGTACCCCGCCAAGGCATCGGCAATTTCATTGACGAGGTTGCCAGTATGGCCTGGCACATGCCTGAAGTGCGTCGAACATCGGGACTGGATCGACTGCCACAGAGCCCGGCAGACACGGGCATGCGGCGTTGTCGCCGAAGCATGGCCCCCTGCGACTTGAAGCGCTGCACTGTTGTCAACAGCTAAGGTAATCCTGGCAGGCGCGTTCCCGGTCAGGAGCTGCATGTTGTCCCACCACACCGTAAACCATGCGGCAGCAGACACTAAAGCGCTCAGCTCCCCCAGGTAAGAACGAAGGTCAAGATGGGTTGCAGGAAACGAGGGAAGCCACGGTGTAGAGGCAAGGCTGCCGGCGTCCCAGCCGAGGCGGTACCAATTGCCCTTCCACGAGACCCACACAGCTAGGGCCCAACCTCCCTTGCCTAACCCACTACCATCAGTGGCAATGAACACTTCGTCCGGAACACCGCCTGGCCAACGGGGAAACCGGCACCATCCCTGATGGAGCAGGGAAGCAAGTGACGAAGGAAGGTCGGTGAGAAGGGGCTTAAACAGATAATGTGCGGCCAAGCCGGCATAATGATACCCGGCGTCCTGCAAATCGAGACAATGAGTCGCCGGAGTCGCGGGAGAACCATCGAAGTCGCGGTCATCGGCCGGCGCTCCCCACGCACGGCCATAACAGTCAAGCAAGGACGCGGACCATGCCGGTGGAACAGGAGCAGTCTGGGCAACAGGCCTCGCAGCTGGCTCAGGGGCAGCAAGCCAAAAGGGCAGCGCTCCGCCACGGCGAGGTCCCCCGACAACGGTAAAAGAACCCCGGCTTGGCGCAATCGGCGGCCACCTGGGCGACACCACACGAAGATTCTGAGCAGAAACCGGCATCGCAACAGGAGAAACAGCCGGTAAGACAAGGGTGCCACTGAAGGGAAACGCCCCGAAAGAGGCCCCTGCAAAAAGGAGAGCCCCTCCACTGGGCCAGAGCGGCAATGCATTCCGCGCCAGCAGAAGGCCAACAAGGCACAGCAGAAGACGGGGGGAGGGAGCGCTGCTACCAAGAGAGCCGCTATCACCATCCCGAATCAGACCCCGCGTGCTGTAACGGGAGACCTCCAACAACCGAAGGGGTGGCTGCATAGGCAGAACATGTGCACGATGCGGATTAAGACTCTCAGGGACAAGGTGGAGGCCTAGCAGATCGCAACGGGCCGCCGGGATCCAACGGTCAACACTGTACCGGGCCAAGGAGGGACGGAATGTGCAGTGTTCCGGGTCCCACACTTCATTTTGAACGGTGTGAACCGTCAAGGGAACAGGATCACCGGCCGACCACGCAAACAGAAGGCCCGGCATACGAATCTGAAAGGGGCTACCCCAAAATGCAAATTTACGGGCCTGATAGAAGGTATCCCAATAGCGGCCACTGGGAGAGCGCAGGCGTGGAACCCAGCCGGCACATGCCAGGGTCAGCACGTCCCCTGACCGAAGGAAAAGAGTTGGGGTAAAGGAAGTGGCGGTGCCACACCAGATTTCAGGCGAGGCTAAAACACAAGCTAAATCAGGAACCGACCGCCGACAAGCACGGATAAGGTCTGCAGCATGACAGGTGGCTGGCAAGATTGCGGCTCGAGTCGCAGGCGGGCACTGAAGCAAGACAACAACAAAGAGTGGATCCGAAGGGACAGGTACCCAGTCAACTATGCGAGGATCTTGAGGTGGCAGGACTTGAGTAAAGTCAGACCACGCAACAGCAGCATGACGCAACTCCTCAGGCGGGCGATCAACAGGACCAAAAAACGGCCCTGACACAGAGCCGGAGGGCTCCCAGAGGCGGTGACATTCCCCTACAGGATAAGGTGTGTCATGCATCCTAGCTGCCCTAACGTGACACTGCCCGGCGGCAGCGAGGCCAACTGTGATGGAAAGGTGTCGGGCACCAACAGCCTCATGGTGCCATCCGAAAACCAAGCCAGCAAGCAGAACCAAGGAGCTCGGGAAAGTCGGTAGAAATCGGGCAGAGAGAAAGAAAGCGAGGAGAACCCAAACGCCACCCGATAGCGGGGCGACCTTGGGAGCTCCTGACACAACGTCACCATTGCGGAGGACAGTGCCTTGGCGCAGTTCCTGGTGTGAAAGCCCCAGCACTCGTGGCTGAGTGGGGATTGAGGGCACATCAGTCCATAACTGCCAGGCGTCCGTCACGGCAGTGACTGGTGCACACCAGCACTTACCGTCAGCTTCAATGACAACATTGACATATGTCGGGTCCTCGGACACCACAACTAAATGGGCATGATCTTGGGCAATCCATGGTACCGGCACCCAACGCCCAGGATAGTGCTGACAGAATTCCCCGGCAAATGTAAAGTCGAGGGCCCGCCACTGTGCCCCTTCGGGTGCATGTCCCCGGGTTGCACGGACCCCAGGGCGCCAGAGTATAAAGTTTGTCCGGGCAGAGACCGAAAAGTCGACGGCCCAGACAGCACAATGCCGAACCTGTGCGTCAGTGTGGAAGCACGGGGGCTGGTAGGTAGGCTCGAAGGCTGCCGGAGGCAGGGCGACAACAAGATCGCCTGAACGCCATCGGATAACGCCGTCAGGGGGCGTCGACGCGGCCAAGGAGCTAGGTGCCCGCAGGGAGAGCGCCTGGAGGGGTTGAAGGAAACGGAGAGCCTCCCCCAACCATGACAGGGTGGAGGAGCAGGGAATCAGGACAGAGAAATGCCGGTCCAACGAGGACACCGCCAGGCACACGAGGCTGGGGTCAGGGGGTCGAGGAACGACCAACAAGGCAGGAAGGGCGGCAGTCGGCCAGACAGGCACAGCATCGGCACCCCATGCCGGCTCACAGGCCTGCGTCAAAGTGTGAAGCTCCGTAATGGCAGCGGAGGTGTACAGACGACCGGCCTCCCGAGGCCCTGTGAAAGGACTAAGCAGAACAATATCCAATTCAGGGCGGACCGAAAGATCGAGGAGGTCGCCTTCACCTGGACGCGCGCGCCATGGGTACAGCCCGACTCGGATGGGCGGATCGGGGAGCTCGTAAGATGGCACCATGCCAGACCCTAGCACAACCCCGAGGGCAAGCCCTAACCACCATGGAGCGCGACCCACCGAAACCGCGAGAAAGCCTAGCAGAGCCGTAGGGCCAGGCGAGGCAGAGGTCAGAGATTGATGCCAAGTGTGCTGGGCACTCTGCGGCTGCACATCATCTAAACTGCTGAAAGGGTCCCAAACAAGATCAGCAGTCGGGGCGATAACCAAGACGTCCCCATAACGAATGGCAGGTAACAGTTGCCAGCCCAAGGGAATGCGGTGGGTGTTGCAGCCGGCTAGGAAGACCCCCACCGGTGTCTGCTCTGGCGGCAGAAGGAAGAGCACATGCGCTTCAGAAATTGAGGTGCGGGACATTAGATGTAGGTCCGACAGGTCACCTGTAAGGACTGGTACCCAGGAACCTGTTAGGGTCTCTCCGCCTAAGCTTCGAAAAGTGGGGCCTAGAGGATCCCAATACGCATTGTCACGTACATACACCAACTGGCCAAAACGGTTGGAGGTTGTCCACAGGGTGACGGGGCCGCCGGTGTCAAACCTGAAGGACAACGACCAGCTGGCAACCTGCCGCGCCCGATCAAGGGATGGGTAGTGCAGAGCAGGGAACCGCGTAGAACCGGGTTGAGAAGAGTCAGGCAGAAAGCCAAAAGCATCGCCGTTGCGAAGGCGGATGTGCGTGTGCATATTAGCGGCGCGGATGGAAGGAGGCGGAATGACAACCCAAAACCGTGTGCAGGGAATGAGACGGGCGGCCAGCCGCTGAATGTCCTCGAGCGACGCATCAACCGACGCTAAGGCAACTGCAGTGCCACTGAGGGTGTGGAAGACTACACTTGCCATCCCGAAAGGAGCAACCGGGGCAAGCGTAACTTGGGCAAACGGAAATGCCCCACGGACGGGGAAGAAGCGGGTTGCCCAGGCCCCACAGTGTCGGGATCCAACAGCTTCAAACAGGGACCATGGTCCTTCCAACCGAGCAAAATGAAATTCACTCCAACCCCTCAGGGGGCAGAGGACTCGGGTGGTAAGAGGCCTTGGACCTGGAAAGCAGCGGGCAAAACACAGCTGACCGTCAGTACAATCAGGCTGCCACCCCGCCTGCAGGACATAGGGTTCACCGCTGCTGAAATCGACTCGCGCAGGAAAATAGCGGTGAGAGCTGTCCTGACCACGGGAGCGACTCCGCCGAGGCGGCATCCTGGTGCGAATGGTGCGAGCTTCCGAAGAGTCAACACTGGAACATCGGCCCGAAGATCCTGAGGACACCGCCCAGGCGGGCCCACTGAAACCATACACAAGGAGCAAAAGTCTGGCTAGCGCGGGGAACCGACGGCCAAACAATCCAGCTGCAAGGGAGTGAACCCACCAATCGCCATCGCGGACACTGGCTTCCTCAGTAGCCTGACTAGAGGCGGGGCGGAGGGAAAACCCGTGAATATACAGGTCGTGTGCAGCGCCTCTATCAATCTCGACACACCTAGTGGAGCCACGAGACTGAATGATATTGACACGCCCAAAAGCAGTGGCTTGCTCAACAAGCCAAGGAGGCGTCCCGAGGTGTCCGTGGCACGGCGCCCACCGGTATACGCCCAAGGCATCCTCGTGTTGGCAAACGGTGGCCTCGGCAGCATTCCACCGCGCTTGGTGTCGGAGGAGAGCGACCCGAGCGGGTCGGCTGGGTGACCACAACAGCACACAGGAGGCGTGTGCCACAATAAAGTCGGAATGCCATGCTGATGCGGCATGCGCAGCTCCCCAGGTCAGGAAGACGGGCGTTTCACGTGGCCCCGCTGAAGGGTCCGACTGGAAAAGCCGTACAGCTATCAAGTCACCTGAGCGCAAAGCGAGCACGGGTCTGGTATCCCGGGTTGACGCAGCAAGACCGGGCGATAGGTGAACACTGACCCTGCGGCCAAAGCGCAGCTGTAAGGCCTGGGTAAGATCGCGGGGAGTAAGAAAGGAGGGCACAACAACACAAAGAAGCTGCCCTAGACCCGTGACCAGTATGCATGTGAGCCTCCCTCCGGGTCTCGGGACCAGAACATGCGAACCATCGGTCACCAGCCCGGATTCAACAAACCCCCGATGCCACGACGTCAGGGTGTGATGTGCATCTGCAATGATCTCCTCAAAGGCATTACTGGGGTCAACCTCAACACGTTGCCAGGGTGCAAAAGGATTGGCAAGAGTGAGGGTGACTCGGTTAACAGTGGCAGCAGGGATATCCGGGGTTGCCACGGATGTTGCAGGAGCCTGTGGAATCATGGCCGCCGCGGGCGACATGAAAAGCAGAGCGCTGGCCCCGAAACTCGCAGGATGACTACCATAAAAGAGGCCAACAGCAAGGACAAGCAAGAACTGGCGTGCTACGGGCAGCTGTGAGAAAGCAAGTGCAGTTCCTAGCCACAAACCTAGGCGGCAGGAGGCAGTCGCACAGCCACCGCGAGCGAACTCCCCAAAAACAACATCCCCGTTGCGGAGTTCGCACGCTTGCTCCAGGGCATATGGCGGGACCCCGCCAACCTGAACCGTCGCAGGGCAAAACTTCAGTTGAGCGGCGAGGCTGGCACGAGACACAACACGATCAACCGATCGGCACAACCGCCCTTCAGGAGTAGCCGCTACGACATTAACCTTAGCTGCAACCTCGTTAACCGCCATCAATTGCAGGGCACGGGCACTCGTCCACTGGACCGGCGTCCAAAAGCCAGGGAATTGGTGTCTAAAGTCCCCTGAAAATGAAAATGCTTCAGGACACCATGATTCGCCAGCCGGAATGCTCGTGAGAAGTGGCGGTTTCTCAGGACGAAGCAAGTGCACCGAAATCGGAAACATAAGTTGGAACCCCACTGCCCAGGGAGCGTGGTGTGCCGCGAGTCCATCCTGGAGGTGCCACGGCTCTACAAACTCTAACGGCTCATCAGGGTCCGCTGGGGGATCATGGATATAAACTACGTCCCCATTGCGGAACCGAAAAGCAGCAGGCGGGATATCAAAATATTCGCAAACCGCCAAACCGTGGGGAAGTGAAAGCCCACCAACTTCACTGTTGATATGACGGGCAACAAAGGAAGTCAGCCACGCAACCGTCATAGTTCGAGGCGTGAGTGTGGCCCGATGGTGACCTCCCCAGACAAGCATAATGGTGACAAGGGCGGGATCATGGCCGACAGGGACGACGGAAAGTTCATTGAATGCGGGCCCCGGCCAGACCGGAAAGTAGTCTGCCGCCCAACCCGGGTCATCATTGCGAAACTGGGCCCAGGCCTGAGTGTGGCAAGTGTCCTGGGAGGCTGTAAAGGGCGGAAAAACCCCCAGAAAGGGGCTGTGCAAGACAACTTCAACCGGGTCCTCACTCGTAATGCCAGAGAACCGCCGGTTAACCGGATCAATACCCCAAGGGAAGCCACCTGGCCTATGCATACCTAGAACCTCTGCGTGCCAGAGACAGAGAGCGAGCATTGCAGGCGCCACACCAGGCGACCTGGCGGAGGTGACAACGAGCCCAACCCACAACCATGCGGCTCTGACTGCAGCAGAAGTAGTTCCGGGGGCCGAGGTTGCAGCATCGGTGCCACGCCCCAAGGTTTCTGCGGCGGCGGCTTGCACATCCTGCTGGGAGGGAAGCTGGCGGGAGGGACGGCGCCCTGCCGCCAAACAGTCGCCGTTGCGAAATTGGACAACAGCGGTTTCTTCATGAACTTCCGGAGGTCGGAGATCATATGCTTGGCCGTCTAGGTGAAGCGCTCGGAGCGCCGCGCAAGCTACACATGCAGGAAGGCAGCAAGGAATTAGGCGTCCGTCAATGACGACACCAACCGCGACATTGCCCGGTGCTTGGGGGCAACCAATTAGATGCACAGCTGTGGCATCGGGCTGCGGCATGAGCAAGACTATCCCGGCCCAACCACGGCTGCGTGCATGGCCTTGAAACAGGACAAAGGGATTAAGTTCAGGCCCAGCAGAGTATTCCACAATGTCACATTGCTGGCGGGCAGTGAAGGGGTTGTGGATACAAAAGGGCGTGCCCAATGGGATGGCAGCGGCAAATGTGCGTAGGCCGCGTTGGAGTCCAAGCAAATCAGCTTGGACCCGGCGAATAACATCCTCATCGGCAGCCGGCTCCCTGTCGAGAGTGGAGGGCCAAAGTCCCAGAGCATAATCCTCAAGAGGGCGGGCCGCACGAAGGTAGCGCAAACGAGGCTGGAAGGGGGCGTTCACCGGCTCCGGTGGAGGAGGTCCCGCTGGAGTGGTGAAAGGGACTGGTGCCCCAGAAGCGTCCGACATGTTCTCAGCTTGGACAGGAGGGGGACCTTCTTCATCAGACGACTCCTCGGCCGAACAATCAGGCGGAGGGAAGATAATAGAGCCTTCGCTCACAGTGGCAAGAGCAAGAACGCTCCTAAAAGCAACCCCCCTAAGACCGAGAAGAGCCCCGACTAAGAACCAGCTAACGGAGGACGGGAGAGCCAGCTTGTGGCTTCCAGAAGTACCCCCGATATCAAGCAGATCGACGTTCGGGGCCGAGGCGGCAGCGCAAGTGCTTTGGGAGGAAAGCCTCAGAACGGAGGGGGAGTCTCCAACAGGCTCAGCGTCAGGCTCCGCAAGCCCCGCCCACAGTCGTGACGTATGGAAAGAGAGTTCACGGGACAGTAGATGAACCCGGGAAACGGTGGCATGGTCGAGACCGGTACCGTTACCTGAGAGATCAGTCTGGACACCTTGATCGACCAAGGGGTTTTGCAAGGCGCCAGCAGCAAGTTGATTACCACGCCCGTCAAGCCGGATGGCCGGTTCCAGAGCAGGGCCACGACTGGGAACATGTCGGAAGAAGGGGCTATCAATGACTAACGGGTCAGGGTTCCAGGGATCATCGTCTCCCGGTATTCTTGCAAGGGCGCCGATGATGATCTGAATGACAGCTCCAGAGGGGAAGTCGGGCAAGGGAGCTCCAGGCGGGTAAAACTGGCCAGCAAAGGAAAGAGCTGGGCAACGGTCTGGCAAAGGTCCCCCTGGGAACAGGGCTCGGATGTGAGCGGAGACAACATCCCAATGAAAAGGGGTGTGCCCAAAAGTAACAACAGCCGCGTCTCCCCAGTGCAGCAGCCAGAATCTAGCAGTAGGATGTGTGGTGGGCACTATCGGCACAAAGAGAACGTGCTGCACGGTCCCGCCGGGTGAGGAGAGAGTAGACCGGAATTCACCAGGGTCGTCAATGTGGTGTAACCGGCACATCAATTCGCGAAGCCAGCGGGTTGGGTAACCCTGTGGCCGCCAAGGCAGATCGACAGGCACGGGGACATTGAGTGTCCAGATCCGCATGGTAGTAGATGCAGGCGGGGGAACGTCAGCGACTGTAGCCAGGGCAGTGCTATAAGGCGGGTGCATAGCAGCTGATTGCCCCCCAAGAAGAAGCAGGGTCAGGCCGCCGAAGATAGCCGGCGAGCAAGCTCTCGCCGCTACGACATGAAGGACGCCATCAACAAATCGGCCGACCAACCCTGGGAGAGCACGGCCAATGAGAGCCCTAGCTCCTTGGGGGCTCGGTGACATATGACGCACCTCAGCCGAGGGTTCGACACTGTGCACAACCCCATCAGGCTCAATGGCACAAAAGAAGAAAGAGCAGTGAGAGGTAAAGTGCTGGACCACTGGCCGTAGCAACTCACACCCAATGGAATCCCTAAGGATCCACCAAACTGGTGGAGATGGCGGGGTAACCAAAATGTCCAAGACCTGCGGATTCGAGTCAAAGGCAACATGGAGCCCATATTCACAGTCAGGCAAGAAGGCTCCAAGATATGCACTAAGATGCAGGTCAAGGTGACGCGCAAGAACACGCAGATGGATCGGGCCTTGCCCGGGTAACCACAGATGCAGCTGGATTTCATACTGTGGTGAAGTGCGCTCAACGTAGGCACCTAGCTGAGGCGCCGCGACTGCAAAACCATGCGTTTGTCGCCCAAGCTCGTGCGTCCAAGACATGGTGCAGGGCCGCGTGAAGTCACGACGAGTATGCAAAATGTCGTCAGCAGAGCGCCGAGGAACCAGAGTGGCGGGCTCAAGAGGCAGCTGCACCGAATCAACAGGGAGCGCCAGGAGACCCAGCAGGCACAAGAGCAAGCTGCGCCCAGGACAAGTCAGCCCAAGTGCAAGGGACACAAGAGTCGGTGGAGCGGGTGGTGGGCTCGGAACCGGTGAATGGCAATTATGCGCTAACTGCGAAATCCCTTCAGGCGAGTCATAGCCTACACTAACACACCTCCCAACGACACTGGCAAGGTCCCGGGGAAACGGCCAGATCTGATTACTATCCGACAAAAAGGTCTGGGGCAGCTCCCAGAGGGAGAGAGAAAGCGCTTGGGCAACGGCCTCCCATGTAGGAACAGGTGTGCACATGCCAACAAGGCGACCCCCCTCGCGAAGGGCCCAGACAGCGAATCCAGGCATGCAGGCCACAAGACACTTTACGTGCCAAGCATCACACCAGAGATCGACAAGCTCGGAAGCGGAATCTGGTGTAACCCCGGCGCCACATAGGGTCGGGGGTGCTTGCAGAACAGCCGCAGGTGTGCTAGCGGAGATAAAGGGAGCGTTAGTCTGAACCCCAACACTATGAGAGACTCGAACCCGAGGCGGCGGCAGGGGCGGGGGACTACGAACAATCCTAGGCTCCCAATGCAAATGAAGGAGGTAGTCGCGAGCCCTTGCAAGGTCAGCCTGGACATGAACATGCCAATAGTGACAATCCCCTCGTCCGGGGATAACGGTACATTCCCAGGACAGCACCGACAAGCCAAAAGGCTGCAACCGACGTAGCAAGACAGCTGCAGGGCGATTGCTGTAAAGAAGGCTGTCGAGAAAGACAGGGAAGGACTCGAAAACTCCAGCAAAGGCTAGAAAAAGGCCTGCAGCGGAAGGATCAGAGGCATCAGTCAGGCGATAAGTAACACAGTCTTGGCCCGGACGGGCAACACAAAACGCTGCATGTGGGAGGGCATCCGCCCCAGGGATCTCAACAAAGACATGACGGCCAGGGATGACACTCTGCAGGAGGGTGCTCAGCACAGTGATGTCAAGGGCGTACGACCGCGGAACCTCGAAAGAGAGCACCCCTTCAACGGAATGAAGGAAGGACACCACCCTCGACTCCCGAAGCCACCGAGAGGCGGAGGCGACATGAGGCGGGAGAGTGAACGCCGAGACATCAAGCGTACGTTGCTCGGAGTTAACAATCACCCGAATGACATCACCGTGGCGAAGTCTGTGTGCCAGGCCTTTCAAGATTTGGATGTCACTGCTAGAGGCTGCTTCCTGAGCGGCAGTAATAACCTGATTCGGACTATAGTCGAACGGAAGTTCGCTGCAAACAACCTCCCTGCCTAGATCAAAAAGGACCGTAATTGCTTCCGGGTGCGATGGCAGGGACACAAGGTGAACAGCTTCAAGCGTAAGCCCGACCGACGCCGCAACAATCTGAGATCGTCCAAGTCGAATGGCTTGGCGGTACAGCTCCGCAGACACATCACGGGCCCGATCGGTGCTTGAAAACTCAAGGCGCACATCGGAGCCTGGCAGCCAAAGACGGCAAGTTATAAGGAAGACCGAGTTAGGGGACGGAAGTGATAACCAGAGAGGACCATCCCCGAAGTCACCAGTCAGGAGCCACTTGGACTGCAGGTGAGAGTGGGCTCCAGCAGGAGCAGCAATCTGGCGGTCTGGAGCTCTGGCAGCAGAAAGAACAGCATCACGGGGCGATGCAGGTTCGCTGTGGATTTGAACCGCTGCAACAGGAGAAAGGTGCAGCAGGAAGCAAGCAACACTCCACGTGCCAAGTCCAGGTTGCTTTCCGGCATGCCCACCTAAGACCCCCAAGACAGGAAGGACTACCCAGGGCCTTCGCAACATGTGGACAGCAGCAGACGTGTCCGAAGCCGGCTCCTCAATTTGCTCAGCAGCGCGAGGGACCGAAGAATTAAGGAAAACAGAGGGTGTAACTCCGGTGCAGGCAGGCATACTGGCGGACGCAGAAGCTCTCGCGGGTGAAGGCAACAGGGTGTGCTGAAGGGCGGAAATGGTATCCGAAGTACCTGGAGTGTCCCACCCGCCGACCTGGTCCTCCGAGGAAGACGAGGA